TATATCTGTGTGATGAGATTATAGTTTAACGTGACATCGTTCTTTTATACAGATAGTCAAGAATATGATGTGACAAGCCACTCTAAATAAGTTTTTCATAAAAAAATCAGATCAATAAATTTTCATTCATTGCATTTGTTTCGTATTTTCTTATATACCTATACTTTGATTAAAAAATACGCAAAATAGAAATTAATTGTGAATGAGAATGAAAATTGAGGTACAAATTACATGATTTCCTATAAGTTATTATATTCGATTAGTGCGGCTCTTTTAAAGAACACATTAACCGCACTAATCGAGGGATTCCTGTACTCACAAAAACGAATGGTAACAGGAACTATGCATAAAAGAAGTACTGATTAATAGATTTAAGCCGAGACTTTATGAGTAAAACAGTGCAGTTTGTTTACTGATCAAGTTTTTGTCATGCCGAATACTTATCACAGTCAACTACCTTAGCATTTTTTTAAAGCATCTGATAAAAGCTTGATAATATTAAACACAAACCTTTCGAATAAGTTCCCCAATCATTCCATTCCAATTAGATGAGTTTTCAATTGTACTGCCATAATTTCCATCTTTTACCAGCTGCAGTTTATATTTAAAATTCAACTTTTTGGCTAAAAGGTCAGCAAGATCTTTACAATAGCCTTCAAATACAGGATTTTCACTCTCAGGTTCTTTAAGCATCAAATAAGGTTTCTCCTAAAATAAAGAAATAAATTTAATCAGTTCTTCTTCTGCTAAGACAATGAGTTACCTGATTTTTTATCATGGATGTTCTCCTATTGGTTTCCAATGCTTTGTTAACTTTTGGTATTCAAGTTTTAACTTTTAAAGTATTATACTGTATATATAAATAAGTGCTTCAGAAACACTTTTGTCTCTCATTGTCCAATATGTTCCAACTGACAAGTTCTGGTATTAATTGACAGAGATCTCGGGTTGTTACTTGTGTGTGTGTAGGGGGGTGGGGGCAAAATATAGACCTGAAAGTCTTATCTTTACACACCTCAAAAACTGCAGTTCTTCACCTATTTTGGCATCGAACTGTTATTCCCACCTACCATGACTACATTTTCTCTCAAGTTATTCCCGCCTACCATGACTACAGTTTCTCTCAAGTTATTCCCACCTATTTTGACTACATTTTCTCTCAAGTTATTCCCATCTTCCGTGACTACATTTTTTCTCAAGTTATTGCCACCTACAATGACTACATTTTCTCTCAAGTTATTGCCACCTACAATGACTACATTTTCTCTCAAGTTATTGCCATCTGCAATGACTACATTTTCTCTCAAGTTATTCTTAACTACTATGACTAGATTTTCTCACAAGTTATTTTTACCTAGCATGACTAGCTTTTCTCACAAGTTACTTTTACCTAGCATGACTAGATTTTCTCACAAGTTATTTTTACCTAGCATGACTAGATTTTCTCACAAGTTATTCTTACCTAGCATGACTCTTCCAATGAATTATCATTATATTTTCCTCCCTAGTATTTTTTAATACCAAATAAGCTGGTAATTAATTAATTTACAAAACAACTTATCAATATGGTAGAAATATTTTTTACATCAAGCCAAAAATGTCAAATAAGTTTTACTGGATAACTGAGAACTTATCTGTCGTTTACTTACCAAAATGCTCGAGATCACAATTACTTTCTCTGTAGCTTGTACATGAGCTACTTTTGATAATAGTGGAGTACGTACAATTTGTAAACCATGATCATCGGACCATGTTCCCACCTTGAAACAAAGATAAGTATTTATGAATGATCTATTACAACTGATATAATTATATCTTGGCTTGTACATAATATTTCTGAAACTTATGATTATAAATATGTAATTCTGTTAAATTTATATCAATTATCAGTCTCTTATATCCTAGCTTATAACAATGTTTCTGTGATACACTACAGCAAAGAAAACAAGTATAATTCAGTGAAATTTGAAAAAGAGAAACAAATTATATCCGGTGCATTGAAAGATAAACAAGAATGACAGAAGTTATTTAAAGAAACAGTCTGTGATCAATGATATTAAGTAACATACACCAGGTGTCAAACCAAACAATCTGTTGCAATACTAATTGTAAAAACCAACAATACTATTACATGTACTCACCATTAAAACAAATACAGCATCTAATGCATATTGGATGTCAAACCCAACATTGTTTCACACACACATATCAAATGAAAAAACAATGTTACATGTACAAATTACCAAAACCAATAACTGGTGTATATATGTCAATGTTTACACCACCTATGTGTTACATGTACAATCTATTAAAATCATTAACAAAAAGTTATATTCCCAACTGATAAAAATTTTAAACAAATATAGAAATCTTACAATACATTTTCAATTCATCCTATACTCTTATCAGATACCACTACATATTTTTTGTGAATCATATAAAAATAAAGGTTTCAAAACTGACATTCCAGACATTAAGTAATGGTAATCATATAAAACAATAGAAGTATAGGAATAATGATAAAAGTCTAAGTTAGAAACATACTAAAAGTTTGTTTGTTGTGAAGCACAATGGGCTATCTGCACTGTGGCCACCACAGATATCAAAACCTGATTTTTAGCATTATGAGCCCTCAGATAACAAAAACATGAGAACTAATGCATATGAAATTCCCCACAAATACCTGAGTGTGACCTGTTGGCACAGTTTCCATAATGTCCAAGGTATAGCCACGACGATGACCATTTGCATCAAACTCTATATTTTTTGTTAAGGCATTTGTCAGATGAATCTGAGGGAAAAATATTCTTTGTTTTATTTTGATTTTAATGAAAGCAATGCTTGATCTATTAAATTGAAAGTATTTTATCATACACTGTTGTGTGTGTTTGTCTATTTGATTTGTTTATATAATAAGTCATTATTATGAAAGTACTAAACACAGAAGGTGTTCCACAGAATTGAGCAAAATTTCTCCACAAATATTAAATTATATTTTTTGTAGATTTATTATTGATTTGTACAACCTAAGTTGCAGAACTATGCAACATATAGTAAAGTGCATTGCCACAGAGTTATGTCCCATTAAGTCAAACACATGCACATATATTTCTACATACTTGTACGTCACAGCTGAGAGGATAAAAGAGGTTTGTTTGTTTGGAATTAAGCACAAAGCTACACAATGGGCTATCTGTGCTCTGCCCACCACGGGTATCAAAACCCGGTTTCTAGGATAACAAAGGTAAGATGAAAGGAAATAGTGGCCTACAGAATCCATCAGTATATAAAGGAAGATACTATTTTTGTAATTGAGGAATGTTAAACTATTCTAGATTCCATGTATAAATGTTTTAGCATCTATTTAACATTTGTAGTTGCTGTTGTTTCAACAACTGGAGTTCACCTTGAAGGTGGTGCAAGCTGTGTGGGGTTTCTTGAACTTACCTTCCTCAGCTTCATAAACGATGGGTGCTAGAGTTAAATCTTTTGTTTCACACATTGATGTTCTCCATATCTTGATTTATTAAGTTCCTAGGTATTAAAGCTGTCATACATATTATGTGTAGTACTTAATTCCATCATTTGACAGTGATGAGAACCAGTCTAGTAGTGCTCCAACAATGTAATGTTCTAATTACCTTCGTTTCAAGTTAAAGGTTATATATGTAACAGTGACACAACTCTTCCAATGTGACATCTTTCAACTTAATTAATCTAATGACTGTGCTTCTATCTCAAGATGGTATAAACTGAGAATAGTCTTTGATGACTTTTGAGTCTTTCCCATTTCTGTATGGAGTGTTATTAAATATTTTAAGTTATCTTCAATGACATTAATACATGTTAGTTTACATACTGTATGAAGCTATGTGTGCTCTGAGCCATGATAGCCTTCTTTTTACTCTTTTAATACCCTTGACATGGACATAGTAACAAAACCAAGCACAAAAAGCTGTCAGTACATCTTGATAACTTCCATACAACTTAAAGGTATATAATTCTTATGAAATAATATCTACAGTTTTAACATATATTTCTTCTAGCTGGTCTAGTTGATCTTCATTAATCACCAAATTAATATTATGATTATCTTGAATGCAAAGCCTTTTGAACAATGACTAATCACAGTATTCACAAAAACAGTACTTTATCCTGGTGGTTCAAGCAAACTTACCTATTCACGTGGCTCAGTAACCTTAATATAATATTACCTAGACTCCATAATAATTTTATTAATACTTTACTCACATTATACATGAATATTTTAATCTTCAATTTTAATAAAAACATTGATCTCAGATCACTTCTGGATAGGATTACAACTAGGCAAAGAATTTTACATCCTCAGTAAGCTCTAGTTTCTCCTTTAATCTCCTTCATCATTAAGAAATTAGCTGTGAAATTTATTCTGATGATTAATTATAAACAAGCTGGACACAGGTTATGGTGACCATGACAGCTTTTGAATGATTGATTGGTAAGTGTTACTAAGGTGGGTAGCAAAATAGACAGCCCACTATTTATTCCTTCATTCATCTGTAAAATAAGTTTCATATGTATCCATCGATCAGAGAAATGTATCCTATAACTGGTTGTCATGGGGTAATGTTGGTTATACTCAAGAAGTGCATGCAATCACAAAAACGATGGTTTAAGCAGTTTCTGTTGCAGCCAATGACTGAAGTAACTCTTACTGAAATGTACACTGGCTGACAAACATACAAGCTGTCCTATAACTAATACTGTAACAGTATTTCCGGAACTGTGGTAAATTTGAATTTGTAATCCTCATCTCTTAGGAATGTGTCAATCTTCTCATTCACACATCCAATATTGATATTACTACATTTCTGATCAACTGAGCCAATAGAATTATATTTTACTTTCAGGTTTTTGACCCCATCTTGTATCCCCCCACCTCTAAACTTCTGATCATGAGCTAGGATTTAGATTCTGTTGCTTTTTTCTAATACCTTTTTATATTTTTATCTCATTATATAATTTCAAATTTTATGTCACTATCTGTGACCTTTCTTTCCCAGTCATGTTCACAAATGGTCTTAATATGTTAATATCATCAACCAGTTTTCCATTAGACCAACAATTATATTTATTGTACAAACTTGTGACATACAATGAGAAAGAAAATGCATTTATAATGCAGTACTCTGCAAAATATATTAAATTAGATACAACTTAAAAATTAGACTACATGACACAGAATAGAATATTTGATGGCATAACTTAGAAACCAAAGTATGTACCATATAAAAGAAATTGTACAACAAAATATTAGATTAGAAATCGTATTGTGTACCTCTTTCACATACTGGGCTATTACTGGACCATGTTCAAATACTACTGATGGATCCTGAAAGCAATCAATACCTGCAGTACCATTAAAATAGACTTTCCCACGATGGAAGTTTTCCTGGAAGATATCTGGTTGATCTGCAAGCAAACTTGAAATGGCTGAATGAAGCACATACAAGCCATCGTAGATCAAAACTGCTTCAACCTGTCACACATACAGGAGAATAAAAATATTAGCATAAAAGGATTTTATATTGGTATAATTTGATCAGTTTAATTTAGCATATATACAAGTAATAAAAAAGAAGACAATTATGTATTAGCATGTCCTGATGTAAATCAAAGACAGTAGCAATTCTAAACAGAACTTGGAATTATATATGACTGAAAGTAGAACAACAGAAGCTGTTAGAAATTATGTTATGCATACATGTAAATTTTTAAAGAATATAAAAACTGAAATTGTGATGAAATGAAATTTACAATTGTGGAATATAATTTCTGTTAGTTTCAACAAATTATTGTAGTTTAATTACAATGAAGTACAATGTGCTGCACGATATTCAGAGCATTATAAAAATGTTTTTCTTTAATGGTAGTACAAATTCCTTAAGTGAAACATATTTATTTTGTACTATAAAAAATCCTCAACCTACAGTAATTTGTTCATTTCCTAATTCTGGCCTTTTCCATCTTTCAAGAAATTTGTTAAAAACTTCATCATCTGTATTTACTAAACGAAATCCTGTGATATTCACTCCTCTCAATTCAGTCCAAAATTCGTCTACTGTCTACAGAAAAAAAGAATTACTTTTATGCAGATTATTCTAAAAAAAAATAATAATAAGCAATATACTTAGAACAATTTACTTTCACGACTAACTAACTAACTATGTCAAGTTTATTTTTAAGCTGAAAATATGCATCTTTGTAATCTCATTCATTACCAATCTTGCTTAATTATGATAGGGAGAAGTTAAATTGTTTCCACTTTCGGGGAGATATGTGCAAGATGAGGTTACCTCAAAAAAGTGCTTGTAAACATTTTTCTTAGATTCTTTATTATGGATGTGCAAAAAAAGCAGCATCAAAGTAGAAAATGCACTACGTTTTGTCACTGAGTTAAGTTTGGTCTCCCAGTTAGAATCATAAAGAAATCATGTGTGACTTTAAAACACTCTTACTAGACCTGTTTTCATGTGCAATAAGTTAAATCCTTGCCATGCCTTTAAAAGGTACATAGAGCTAGTGCTTTCGAACTAAAATTCCAATATCACAAGAGGATGAGAATGGGGACCAATTCCCACTGGGTGGGATACCAGTCCATCACAGGCTAACCCCGAACTAACAGTTGGTACCCATCATACAGCTGGGCAGACTGGAACAAATAGGGTAAAGCATGATGCAGGCCAGCCTCAAACTTGCAACCATCCAACTACTAGTCAAAAGCACAAAGACACTAAGCTATGCTGCCCCACTTCATACCTAATACATATTGCAGAAAGAAAAAGACACAGTTTTGTTAATTCCTCGAAGAGAAGGAGAAAGAAGTCAACAAATATATGTTAACTAGATAGGATGTACATAGAAGTTAAGGCCATCTATATTGGAAAACTGGGAGACCGTTGGATGAAACTCTCAATGAACACAATTTCTTTGATTGGAAAATTAAGGAATCACTTAATATAAAGAAATATAAACCAATAATGAATGGTTAGGTTAAATTAAATTACAGTTTTTGTAGATAATAACTTAAACATTACTTACTCAGTTTGCCTAATTATATTGAACTTTCCATTTACTATGTAAGAAAGTCTTTCTTTGTACTATAATAACATTTATATTATACTGTTACGTCTCCGTTTGTTAATTAACTTTCCTTAACTTCGTTCCGGCGAAACTTTAGCGACACAAGTCCTTACTTAATAAAACTGGTTTATTCTTTCCGAATACAACTTTACGATACACTTATTTTCAACAGTCGCTCTATAACAAACGCTATATCAACGAACGTCAACAATACTTCTGACTGCAGTTCAATTACTCACTATCTACACACACATTATTTCCCGTCACGTTGTCACCCTCTTTTATATACCAGGCTACTCTATATCTAGTAAATGCTAGAGCATTCGCCAAAGTACAGGATAGTTCTAGAAAGCAGAGGGCGTGAGAATAGTCACGTGATCTCGCTGGCGCAACAATACTGTTCACACATGTGCCAGAGGCTTTACAATAATATGAAAGATCAGATGCAAGATATACTCTTGTGAGTGGTTTCCAACTATGTTAAATCGAGTGAGTGGAGTTCATTACATAAAAGGCATGCTCCTGATAAAGGTGTAAAACTGAAACACTGAGGAAATAATACAACACTGAAAAATGCTCTGGAGTCACAGATGTTTCATCTATTCAGTAGTTTTTTTTTATGAAGGAATAGTTTGTGCTTTCATGACTTATCATAATTTTTGGTATTTTTCTGTCAGTTACTTGTCTAATCCAAATAAATTGAATTGATTATGGTCCATAAAACTATTAACTGCCTTTATTTCTTTCTTGTTCTACAGCAACAGTATCTGCTCTGCCCACAGTGGATATTGCTATATTGCTGCTCATTGTGCAATAAGGTCAACAACAGCAGTGTTCATCACTGGTAGAACAGATGATATCTAGAGTTCACAGCCTCTTCTATGCTGAAAATGAGAACTACCCCTCATGTGGGTAGTACTAGTTCTTATGATTAAATTTCATGTTTCCTATTAAGTCAGAAGCATAAAATTTAAACATTACTATACAGGATCTCAAGTGTGTCAGTTTATGCGTAGACATCTTGAGGGAAAAATATGCTGATCGTTTCACAAGTCCAGCAGCAGATGACCATCCAGTGTCAAGAAAGCAAGTGTACACAATGTGTTTGTCCATTGACATAAATAAATAGTTTTTATTTTGTATAACAAATCACATGTCCAGTCTGTTTGTTTCTTTGCTCGAACTCAGTTAGCGTAGTTAGTTTCTGATGTGTTTGATAAGTTATCCTCCCAATCCTCTAATTATAAAGAGGACCTAGCAAACATTCTTTGAGAAAACGCTTATTTACTGCCTTTAAGTTGTCCATATACGAAATCTTTTTGGTTCTTTTCTTGTCAGTGAGCGAGTTCTATTCGGTTATATGTTATAGCAAATTTCTTGTGGTTTCATCCTTGAGTATACTCTGTACATGGTCTTTACAAGAACTCAAGATGTTTCCTAATTTCAGTATTTTCTGAAGCTAAGTAGTTGGCCACTTTCTCACCATAGACAATCAAATTAGAATACTTTTGATTTGGAACACTTGTCTTCTTATTTCTGTTCTGTTGTACTTTAGGTTTATCTTCATTATCTTGTTCCTTGATTCTTGTTGTCACTTGAAGTTTAAACTCTGGTTCTGTAATCATTGAGTAATGTACATAGATTTTCCACATAAAGTCTATTCACAACAGGTACTCTACCTCTACGTAAATTACCCATACACCACATACTTTAAACTTTCATTCAATTATAGACTTGAACTGAGTTCTATCAATAGCTAATCCTTTCTAAATACTCAACAAGTTAAAAAAAAAATTAAATCAGCAGTTTGATAAAATTCTTTTGGCCCACCCCTTATTAGTCAGATAGCTATAACGTCTCCTATATGCCAAGTATGACTATTGAAGCTTCCTTTCCTACTTCCAACATTAAACACCCCCCTTATGATGTCATGCATTTTGTTAGAGTCATGTAATTTGATTACATAGATGTATCTGTACTTGGTTGCTGAAACAAAGTTTACAACAGATAAATTTAGCAACATACAGCTTTCATTTAGTTTAAACATTTACCAAGTTACAAAAAGCACACAAAGTAGTGTTACCCATCTGCTTGTTTCTTAATTTCCGGTTTAAATTCTTTCTGAAGAACTTCAGTGATACAAGTCCCTTCTAAATTAAAACTAGTTTATTCTTTATCGATACAACTTTGTAATACACAGAATTTCACAGTCACTTTAAACTTAACAACATTTATAACACACGCTATAAATCACAGTGATTCACACACTTGACTTACGGTGCCTACTGTTTGCTTGACTCAATTATCCATCTCTTCAATCTATCTATCTATGAAATCTATCTGCCCATATCACTGGCTTTCTTTGCCAGGCTTATATACTGTTACGACAGCGGAAGTCACGTGACGCTAGTAACACGTCATGAGATTCTAGAAAGATCATGTCTGTTCATGGCAACTCTAGTCTTTTCTATGCACCCTCTATTCTTGTATATAAGTGCGCCAGATAAAGCGAGACTATTAATCGGAATTGGAATTGCAGACAGGCAGAGATAGAGACGAACAATTGAGTCAAGCGCGGTAGTGACCTAAGTAAAGTGCGTGAATCGTTGTAATTATAGCGTGTGTTTAAGTTGAAGTGACTGTGGAAATTAAGTGTATTGCAAGTTGTACTGAGAAAGAATAAACTTGTTTTATTTAAGAAAGGACTTGTATCGCTAAAGTTTCATCCGAAAGAAATTATACGGGAAATTAACAAACGAACACAGAGACGTAACAGTACTAAAAAAGAGGGCGTCTAGCAAACACTGGGACATTAGCGGGGTTCCCCGATAGTTCTAGAAACTTCAGCGAGCATGCTCCCAGCGTCACGCGATTTCGGCTGTCGTAACAGTAGGAATGGGCAGAATGATGACCACACCCACCTTGAGGTTGCACCTTGTTAAAAACCACCAAGTGTTGTAATGTTAATCCGCCCATTCCTACTTTGTTTCGTCATATTTTAGTGCTCCCATTCGTACTTCCTAATTTTTGTATTTAAATTTTTTGACACTTTTCTACTATCTGGAGACAAGGGTAGTTATTTATTGGCGTGTGAATCAGTTAGTGAAGTTAATGGGAATTAAATGAAATATTTATTTAGTGAGTCAGCTCCTATTAACCAGTTAGTTCCTTGTCAGAAAAGTTATTCAGTGATAGTTATCTCATCAGTCTTTCTATTCAGTTACTTGGCAAGTTAGTTGTTTATCGATTGATTAACTTAGCGAAAAAATAAGTTAGACATACCTCTCGCAGTTTATATTGAACCGTCATATTTCAAGTAGTTTCCGAATCTACAATGAAAAGTGTTTATGAATTCAAGCCTACTATCTGAGCGTTGCTGTAGTAAACGTTTATTGAAGAAATAAATTAACTCTTATTGCTACGCGAATTGGATTTGGTATTATTTATGTTACGACAGCGAAGTCGCGGGACGCTGGGAGCATGCTCGCTGGAGTTTTTAGAATTATCGGGGAATCCCGCGAATCACCGAGTATTTGCTAGACGCCCTCTTTTTTAGTATATAAGCCTGACAAAGAAAGCCAGCGATATAGGCAGATAGATTGAAGAGATAGATAATTGAGTCAAGCGAACAGTAGGCACCATAAGTAAAGTGTGTGAATCACTGTGATAGCTTGTGTTATAAAGATTGTTAAGTTTAAAGTGACTGTGGAAATTCTGTGTATTACAAAGTTGTATCGAGAAAGAATAAACTAGTTTTAATTTTAGAAGGGACTTGTATCACTGAAGTTCTTCAGAAAGAATTTTTTTAAACCGGAAATTAACAAACAAGCAGATACACAACACTTATAACAAATATTCTAAAAGAGCCCGCCCAACAACAAAATATATTATAAGAGTATTTCAGTTATTAGTGGCGAATAAAGGACCTTACATCAAATCCTACAACTGCAGTTAACTTATTAAATTTCTGTATCTTATAAAGAAACAGCCTACGACAATATATTATGTGTTACTTTAAGACCATATTAAATAAAAAAGAAACTTACAGGATGAACTAGTAGGAAGTGGAAATTACGTTTCTCTATAGTTACATCATTGACGAGATTCACAATCACACTCTTTGCTAAAGTTGGTGTAACATCTAAGATGACGTGTTTTATACTTTCTCTTTCCGCAAGTTCAATTTGACGTAAGAAGTTATTTGTCTCTTGAACACTGGCTATCCTTTTGAACTCCTTTACTTCAAGATCAGTTATTCCACTGGTCAAATCAAGCAGATTTTGAAGCCTTTCAGGCCCTATAATACACAATATGCTTTATTAATATTTAATCCATTATATGATTCTAAGCTACTACAGTGATCAAACAACCTCAATACCACGTTACTTAAAACTATCATAATATAATAATAATTAATATTAAAAATGTTCTGTTTAGAAATATAACTTTATGTGCTTTCGTGTATTAAGTAACTTAAAAAGTAAAATAATAACGTCAATCTTATAGTATGGAATAATAACATGTACGTCCTACGTAATATAATGAATACAATATTGTTCTTATTTTATTAACAAATAAAACAAATCCACAGATATATTGAATATCTGTATAAAAGAACATCGTCACGTTAAACACTAATCTCATCACACAGATATATTGACTATCTGTATAAAAGAACGATGTCACGTTAAACTATAATCTCATCACACAGATATATTGACTATCTGCATAAAAGAACGATGTCACGTTAAACTATAATCTCATCACACAGATATAGATGAGGCAATTTCTCAGTACCGCCAATTATATGAAGAACAGAAAATTTTTCTGCAAATGTGACGGCTTCTATCTTCATCAAGGTCTGTTTCTAAACATTTTCCCTTAAATTCTCCATTAACCGTGAAAAGTTCTTCTAATTCTTTCTTCGTCATCTTCTTATGCTGGCGGGTAGGTAAGATTTCTTCACATTCATCAATGTCTTCATATGCTTTCTGAGTGTCCAAATTTATAAGATCCTTACTGGTTAGTTCTTCTGAATGAGCTTCTAGCAATTCTTGCACATTTTTATTGTCAATCTCAGCGAAGCCAAGTTCTTTTCCAATATGAGTAATCTCTTTAATGACCTCTTCTGTA